TACTAATGTTTGTAAAAAGGTGGATGTGTCACATGTGTATAGATTTAGCTATTTTGGTCTGATTATCAGCGCATTGGTGCTATTAAATGTATGACTATGGCTAGATTTTCTGTTAATGCATAGTATGGTTTTATTTCTGTAATTCCTAGAGGGGGATTTGGGTCAGAGATGAGCACCATTTGATTTTTCGAAAAACTGTTTCCCTATGAGCTTAGTTCATGTTTTCTCGGAATAGAACCAATTTGAAACTCACAAGTCACAAATCTAACCGTGCCCATCTCTGGCACAGATCTGGGTTTGAGTACTACTAAAATGGCAAAAGAACATCCACATCCACGTGCACACAGCTTTTGGAATACTCTCTATTTGCTAAGATATGGCAGAGTGCATTAAAGGGAAATCTTCATTGAACTTTTGAACTTAAATAATTTTACTTTAGCATTTAGTCTAAGGTGGCCTTTAACTAGTAAAAATAGTTCATTTCGATCGCTACTCAATTTTATTAAAACAACCATGAATGTAATTTATGAAGTACAATCACGAACAATCATTTCATAGTAGACTCCACGTCGTTTCATTAAGTCTTCATGAGTACCACCTTCTACGATATATCCTTTGTCAAGAATGCAGATCATATCACATGGCCGAATGGTTGATAAACGATGAGAAATAATGAGTGTAGTTCGAGTTGGATCATCCGTGTCCGCTTTTTCAAGAGCGTCTTGAATGATCTAAACATATCATAACTGACTATTTCATGATCGAATACCATTTCAAAAAAGAACCTGTTCATTGTAGGAGTCCATAGCACTTGTTGCTTCATCTAATAGCAAAATTTTAGGTTGACGAATAAAAGTTCGAGCAAGAGCAATACGTTGTTTCTCACCACATGACAACTGACAACCTTTCATACCTACTTTAGTTTTATAGCCCTATTATCAAGATACAAACACACAATCGAATCTCATGTGTTACTTTTTACTCACTTCAGGTAACTGCTGAATGAAATGATGAATGTTGGCTTTAATAGCTGCATTAATAATATCTTCAATCGAAGTGTTTTCTCTACCATATGCTATGTTCTCAGCAATAGTCATATTAAATAGAACAGGCTCTTGATTAACAAGACCGAGACACGAGCGAAGCCATTGGATATTAAGATTTCGAATGTTCACACCATCAAGATACTAGATTTTATTAACCAAGTGTTTAAACGAATATTTGATAACATAAAAGACAAAAAGTACTCACGATTCGACCTTGTATAGGATCATAGAATCGTTCCAGGAGTTGAATGACTGTCGTCTTTCCACGACCAGATGCACCTTTATATATAGACTTTATAATCGTTTTGAATGAATGATAACTAACTTCAACATACCTATGAGAGTCATACGTTGACCTGATTGATAAATAGAGAGATTTAATCGAAAATTAAACTAAATATGGGTAGAATAAACTCACCACTTCTGATGAGCAGTTGCAATTTATTTAGAATATAGGATGATGGTCGAGATACATATGCAAATTTGACTTGTTGAAATTCTATCTCACCTTTGAAATCATTCTATCACGAATGTATTTTAACAGTGAGATGAGAGTGATCTATTCAAAACTTAGTCTTTTAACAAATGAATTACTCACCAATTGCTGACCATCTGTAGAACTATTGTCAATAGATGATACTCGATTGAACAAGCTGAAGAAACTTCGAGCTGCTGACAGTGAGTCACTCATCTGGCGTGTTCTGAACGAAAATAGGTGACAAAAACGAAAATGATCGACATAACTATTTACAAGGTCATGGTGTATTGCAGAGATTCCAAAGCAAATATATAGTAGGCAAATACTCTAGAAGAACATATAGAGAAAATAAATCATCAATATTTCTACTTGCGTACATAAAGATATTATTCATCTTCAGTTCTTTCTGTTCAACGAGGATGAGTGCCTGCCAATAAAGAATTAATAAGATGAATGGTGCTGTTCCCCAATAGATACTCTCTAGTAAGGAGGATATTATTAAATCATTTCGACGACTCCTATGAGAAAATAAGACATGAATAATCTTTAGAAAAGCGATTGAAAGACTCACTTGAATTCGTTAAGAATTAGGTTCGAAAATTGACATAGAAATTCTGCTTCGCTTGATAATTGTTTTACTGTACGCATATTGTGAATGATCTCGACAGCGAGCTATTGATTAAAAAAGGCATATGTCCAATATTTCAGTATATGTGATCGTGTAATTGAAATCTTAATATTACCGCACTTGCTGATCCGAGAATGCCTTCAGAACGTTTATTCGATCGAGCTTGCCAACATATATGCATCAAAGAAATAACAAACAGAAAGACTATAAAGAACAGTAGGATTAATGTCAACTGCCAATTGAATAAAAATCCAACAAGAATGCCGATCCCAAACATTGCAACTGATTCAAAAATGATGCCTAAACGAGAGCCAACCATCTGTTGAATAGCCAATGCATCAGACGAGAGGCGATTAGCAATCGCTCCAGAGATATTTTCAAGAAGATCAAAAAAAGCCACTTCTTGACGTAGATAGTGTGCGAAAGCTTTAGTACAAATACGCTCAGTTAATTTTGAACCAGAAATAGCAAAAACAGTATACTAATGATGAAGAAGATAATGAAACCTTTTGTAATATATATTCCTACCTGAATAAAACGAATAACCAAAACAACAATGCCCATCAACAAGAAGAGAAGGGAATATTTGATAATTTGACCACGTCGTTCTTCATAAGTATATGCTCCAAATGTCTATGAACAATCAATTGCGATAATATAGGTCAGTTTGCATAAGAAAATGACTTACAGAAATTATATTCGTCAGTAAAACAAGCTCACTTAATTGGCATATTCCATTAAGGATGCAGGTCATGCAGCCAATCAGAATGAAGATCCACTCTGGACTGTTCATCAATAAAAGTCGCACGAAAACAGGCTGAGAATTAATGATCGGTGATCTCTATCAAAAGTATGTTGAATATACAAAATTCATTTTCATACAGATACATTCATGTTCTTTACTTGATTCCTATCGTCAAGTTCTTTATGACTACAATGACGAGATCGTTCAGCTAATTAACAAAAAAAACCGAGCTTGTTCGAAGAATTCTTTTTTATTAAAAGTAGCTATCTACATACATATTTGATTTTGATCATCATCTTCTACTTGTGTGTGGCTTGTTGTTTGATTGGTACCAATTCCTACATTTTCTCTTTGTTGAGCTTTCATCATGTCACGATATCGACTTCCTTCTTTTGACATCAATGTCTCATGTGTACCTTGTTCAATGACACATCCATTATGCAACACATAAATCCGATGCGCATTTTGAATTGTTGTCAAACGATGAGCAATTACTATAGTCGTTCGACCTATGTATAACGATTGAGGATATGATTGAAAGAGAAACATGTATGCTAACCTTTACAAGCTCGATCGAGGGCTTCTTGAACGATCTGTTCATTCGCATTATCAAGGGCACTTGTAGCTTCGTCCAATAAAAGCAAGACTGGTTGCTTGACAAGGGCACGAGCCAAAGCCACACGTTGTTTTTCACCACCACTCAATTGAACACCACTTTCACCAACAATTGTATCATATTTCTGTGAGAATATAAAACACAATATATGTCATTAGAAAATGAAAGCATTCGGTGCAAACATTAGACAGTTGCATAATAAAATCGTGTGCATTGGCTAGACGTGCAGCTTCTTCAATCTCGGTTTTTGTTGCATTCTGCTTACCAAAGCGAATATTTTCATAGATACTTGTAGCAAAGAGAATCTACATGCAAAAGCATTAAGTACAAAAATCAAAATACAAAGAATCTAAACATACAGGTTCTTGACTCACTACACCAATCTTTTGTCGAAATTGTTTGAGATTGAAATCAGTTATGGATCGATTATTAATTGTAATGCGACCAGATAAGGGTTCATAAAAACGAAGTAGAAGTGAAATGCATGTGCTCTTACCTATTCAATCAAAGAACGATGATGACCAATCTGCGATTTTATGATTTGTGTAAAATACTCACCAGAACCATTTGAACCAACTAAAGCTATTGTCTCACCGGCACGAGCCATCAAAGTCAGATTCCTTAGGACTAAGGCATCTGATCGTGTTGGATAGGCAAAGTTAATATTATCAAATTGAATATCACCATTCATGTTAATAGGTCCTTCACAAGCAATAGAATCTTGTAATATTTGTGGTTCATTCATACTTATCTTTTCTTCCTATACCAGACGAAAGTGAAGGTGAAGAAATGAAGCGATAGATAAAACACAACTATACCTCATCGATCAATCGGAATATAGGTGTTGAAGCACCTCGAGCTTCTTCCAATGATTGAAAGAGCGGACTAACATACCCAACATTAATAATATTTCGTCCTAATGTAATAACTATCTATTCGAATATGAAGAATGCATTCGTTTTTCAAAGTCAATCAATAAACTGAATAACTTACTACGAGGAGATTACTAAAAGTGTGTCTGTCAAGTCCTCCGTGGCTCATGAAAGATAAGCTGAAAGCAAAACCAACTGAATAAATGAGACATCCTACCAGATGGATCCATCCAGTAACAAGACCAGAAACGGCACCCTTACGTATACTACTCCAACTAGCTGCCTTTAATTTGCTTTCGTATCTAAATAAAGAAGAAAAATATGCCATAATCATAGTTTAAGTTTTACAAAATTCACTTAGCAGTTGCTATATTCCCTACCGTTTTTCTTCAAGTTTTTCACCATTAAGCGAAAGCACAGTACGAAGAGAACTGAATACTTCTTGAACGATTTCTCCTGCTTTTGAATACATATCGTATTCTTTTATTGTTTCTTTGGTAGTGATCTTTTAGAATTCATATAAGCTACATCGATGATTAAGAATAACATTTACCTTTGAAAAAGCATATGATCCGGCAATAATTAATGGAAGTGTGCATAGTATGACAAGTGTCAACTTCCAATCGATGATTAGAGCAAAGCAAATACTACCAACAGTCGAAAGTACTGTTCTGAGCAACACTGATAAGTCACTTCCGATGCCTTTACTCAAACAGTCAATATTACTATGAGATGAGAAAGCCAGATATTATCTCTATTGTAGGTATATACAAAAAATTATTTACTTGAATAGTATGACAGCGAACTGATTGATTGGATTCATATCGCAATATGACATATTCTGTGAATAAGAGAAAGAGAAACAAATAATACACATATGTAACAAATAACTACGGTTAGGTTGTAACAAATACGACTAAATAAATGATCTTTTCGTGATTTTTTTTCGACATCTCCATTTTTTAATCATTATTCAGATTTGGTTTTTTTCTAAAAGATGTGCTATATAAGTCTTCACAAATTAATGTATTTTATCGGTAGAATTTAGTGTTCTTGGTTCTTCAAATAAGAGAAAAACTATGTTAGCAATATTAAGTATAATTTTAGCTTCTCTTTTCTTCTTAGTTTTCATCTTACGGTAAATCGATTCAATTCTGTATTTTGATGCTCTGAAAAGTTCTAATTCATTTTTATGTGAACAGATGTTCGTGTGTGGTGCTACCTTTACTATATTCATAGAAACTATGTATTACAAAAGTATCATGGAAAAGCTAGTACATTGTATGAATGTGAATGCAGTAAGAGAAAAGCTGACACAATCAAAAAAAAGTCTGAAATCTATACCAAATACTTCCATACAGTTCTGTGATGTACGAACGATAAAGAAGAGTATATTCATCATATGAAACAAGCTTTCATCATACTCTCTATGAGACTAAAATGCTAAAAGTAATGAGAGTATTATAAAATACTTACGGTTTAGCAAAAGTTTTGATCACGGAGCTTCAAGGATCTTGTCGGATAAGGTGATCTATTGAGAAATGAAAAACTAACCATAGCATATTGTAGATCTTCTTGAGGCGCATCGAATGGTATATAGTAAATCCTGTTTTCATAAGACTTTGAAAGAACTAGAGTCAATTTACTGAGATATACGATTCGACGCCCTCAAGAAGCTCTACAATATGGTATAGTTGGTTTTGCATTTATCAATAGGTCATCTCATCCAACAAGACTATTGAAGTTTCGAGATCAGAACTTTTGATCAACGCTAAGTATTATAGACACTTGAGCACTTATCCTCTGTCATGTTTCATAGTTTATCATTTTTACAGAATTGCACGATATACATTTTGATATAAGATTTAGGCGCAGATAATGATAATCAATAGAGATATCGAGAAAACAATAATGAAACCATTTACTCTGTCTCATTCATTGTATCTACATGAGGATAAACATGGCTGACATACACGTTGTAAGAGTGATTGGAAAAGGCGAATACGTATTCTAGAGGTTTGACGTCTACTGGTCATGCTGAAAAGAAAACAACGGGCACCAATAGACAGAAGTTCGACGATACCGATGACTACGTAAATTAACGATTAGAATTATTCTTTTATTTAATGCCTGAAAGGGCATATTCTTTCTGCTTACTCAGAAGCCAATGCAATAGATTCTCTACATCATCATAAAATTTGATAGTAGACAACAAACATAAAGATGTTACTGTGGTACTCTCATTTTGATAGAATCTGAAATTGATGAACAAGAAATGAAGAAAAACGTGAAAGCATCTTCATATCTTGTATGATAAATACTTATCTTTGAGATTGATTAAAGTTCAAAGTATGTTGTACTTCATTGCACGGAGATTCTCTGCCGTTTCCAACAGTAACTGATGTGTTGTGCTGTAGAGAAAGCCTACCAATAAACGATTGTAATGCGAATTCGCTCATAAGTCGGCCAAAAACTACATAACGTGTTGTATGAGCAATACAACTTAGTAAAACGAAACATAATCCAAGAAGCATCATAAATAGATCGAAACGATCAGCAAAACGAAACTATTGGAAAGTTAAACAAATATTCGATTGTTCTATATGCATTCGCTTTTACTTTCCTTACTAATTGAAAATATCCAACAGGCGGCTCATTCCAGGTATGATCACTCTGATCATTTAGTTTTTCGTATTGCTGATGGAGTTGCTTGAAAGTAAAACATCGGCCCCAATTGGACAATCTATACAAATGTAAAATTGACTTCGATATCTTTCTACAATTCAGTTTTGATGTACCTGTCAATCACTGTTTTTCTTCTCTTTTTTTTGCTATCATCAATGGAGAAATCGTGTAGTGCTGATATTAATGGCTGTGTATCACTCATGAAGTGATGTGCAATATTTCTCCCTTGAAAAAGATTGAAAATGATAATATTTGCACTCTAAACAAGTACACAAATAGATGATTTGCTTGGCTAAGCACACATGGTCATGTATGTACAGTAGTCAAGAATAGTGTCAATTGTATTTCTACTGAATATACACAATAGAAAGGCTCATCCATCATGTATAGATGATCGACTAAGAACACAGAAATTTTTTTTTCTTTCCATTTCGATTCTCTCTTTAATAGCAATGGCAACAGTACAGTGGGCCGGGGGGCAGGGGGGCAGAGTCTGAAGGCGCGGATAGACTTAAGTCTCACCTGCCTTTCGCTTCTGTAGGCAAAGCCTCATCGAAATTTTGAGTATGAAGTTTATTCGTTCCTATATAACTTCAAATTTTTCTATCAATAAAATCTTATTTGACTATGAAAATTAATATCTGCCACGTTTTATACGTTTATTGTAATGAGAAAGAATATAAAACAATTTGAACTATATAATAAACTTACTCTTAGTGATATCTATTGCATCATAATGATTCATAGTGACACTTTCGTTTAGAAAGAATGGTGTGTAAAATAAAGGAACCGTCGAATGGTGCAATATCATGCACACAAAACTAAGTGAAATCTCAGATGTCATCCTCTTTTTGTGCACTCATAAAGTGAGTACACTCTAGAATCGGTCAGTGTGTCTGTCCGGCCGTTTACACCATAACTTTCGAAAGAAGAGTCCGATCGCGATGAAATTTTCTACATAGTTCAGCCTTTAGAATGTCTCGGTCGAGTTCGAAGATGAGAAGGATCGGCCGAGCTGTTCCTGAGTTATTGCAAAAATACCGATTTTTCCCTATGGCTTCCTATCGGAAAATCGACCCATCGCCATTTTCGTAAAAGGCTTTTCCTATCATAGTCAATTAAAACCCCAACTATTATATACCATTCGATAGAGAGTTTCAAGAACGACAAAACGATATATAAAACATTAAGAAACAAGAAAATTAACTCACCTATTGGTAAGATAAATAAGCGGGAATCGGTTCGGTTTTTGTGCACGCTCCAATCGATCCCCAATTGGAACTCTATCTTCCTATCATAGAGGTGATAATCGAAGGTTTTCTAGTATGGAGAACTCGAATCTCTACTCCACTTGCCTCGAAGGCCCATTGGTTGAGCATTGACCAATAGAAATCAAGATATAGGGAAAACAACTTTCTGAGGCTAAGTTAAGCCGAAGAGTTGAAATCTGAGGTGTATACGCTCCCAAATCCTATTGTTTGAGCAGTAGCCAATGGAATTCAACGGTTTATAGAAAAAGGTTTGCAGGCTTATTTTTATATTCAGACATTCTAAGATGACCGATTTGTCTCATTCACTTTTTGAAGTACACATACTCTCGGATATAAGTCCGAGATTTCCGCATTTATTTTAAAATATAATCGTGTTATTCGTCTTGTGTTGTGAAATATATCCGTAAACTCATTCGGAAAGTTGAACAACAAAGTATGAAGAAATTTTATTCTTTAGCTTATCTGAATATGAACCTATATGATTTTCTTCATCAATTTCGTTTCATAAGCTTATCAACATCATATAAAAATGAGTTCAGTATTCTATTTCTAGTAATAAAAATTAAGTATCACATTTGTGTTTCGTAATACCCCTAGTCCACTCTCACTCGCCAAGTTACCGCTGAGTCCCTTAAAAAATAGGAAGTCCCTGGTGAATCCCCATGGAATCACCTTTATTCTCCCTCGTGAATTCCAAAAGATAAAAACTCCCCAGGGAGTCCCTAGTGAGTCCCCCCGGGAGACTTTTTAGGGAATCCTTAGGCTTTGGGCAAGACAGAGAAAAGTACAAACTTTCCAGGCAGTCCCTCTATGGGGGAATTCCAAAAGAGTTATTTTCTATACAATTTTCTCTACAAAATGCAGAAAAATTGAGTTCAAGACATATTTCCGTGATATTATCACTGAAATTTTCCTTTCAACAGTATCATATGATGGATGACTAGTATGAAGACAAGTAGCTTGATAGATAGGTAGGCAGATAGATATGGCGATAGATGGATAGATAGATAGGTAAGTAGTCGATGAGTAGGTAGATACATAAGTAAACAGCTAGCTCGATAGGTAGGTAGATAAGTAGATGGCTAGATAGGTAGATAGATAGGTATATGGATAGGTACGTAGACAGATAGCTAGGCACACTGTAGAAAATGGATTCTTAAAAAACCTGTGCCAGCCATCAGATTCTTTCAGGTTTCGCATCGATTGACCGAACCTAAAAAGGATCAGAAAACGATTTACTCAACTTTTCTAGGGTTTCGTATATCAATACGAAACCTTAGACGATCCGAGTGCTCGCATAAGTTTCGTAACAAACCCACTTTTCCCAGTGTAGCTAGGTAGCTAGAGATAGATTGGCAGGTAGATAGATAGATAGGTGGATAGATGGATAGGTAGATAGATGGATAGGTAGATAGATGGATAGATAGGTAAGCAGATAGATAGATAGGTAGTGACATGAGTAGGTAGACAGATAGATAGGTAGTGAGATAAGTAGGTAGATAGATAGATAGGTAGT